TTATTATATTATTAATTCACCTGAGGATATTTTTTCCATTGATTTTTAAAGAGAGTGGAAGGGAGGGAGGAGGAGGAGAGAGAAACAACGATGTAAGAGAGACACATGGATCAGTTGCCTCCTGCACCTGCCCCAACTGGGGAGCGGGAGGAAGAGAGGGGGCCTGGGACGAACCTCCAACCCGGGTATATGCCCTTGACCAGGAATCAAACCTGTGACCCTTCAGTGCATGGGCAGACGCTCTAACCTCTGAACCATGCCAGCCAGGGGAGTTGTGGTCATTTTCTTTATGACAGTCTGGGAAAAGAGGTCACAGCCCCTGACTATATGGTCAGGTGTTGCATGTTTTACAAATTGCCGTGGCACACCAGTTGACAGCCACTGCCACAGGCCTCTCTCTCTGTCTGTTTTCCTCCTTCTCCCCCCCCCCCCCCACCAACCCCTTCTCTCTCTCACACTCATTAAATCTCACCACTTTGCCAGCCTTTCCCTCTGTGTTTGAGAACCATCCCCTCCCCATGGGGCCCTAGTTCTCACCCCAGTAGAGGACGATGTCCTGGCCTCCAAGGCTGCTGTGTCTCACTCGGCAGGTCAGGCCAGCTGCCTCCCCAGCCGCCACGTCCAGGGTCACTCGGAGATGCCACGTCCCGTCAGCATTGGGCAGGACGTCCCCTTGCTGAGCGCCCGGCTGCTCCTGCTGCCCCCGCATCCACCTCACCCACACAGGCTCTGGGTAGAATCCTGAGACGTGGCACACCAGCAGCAGACGGCCAGGGCCAGGAGGGGGGCCACTGGACAGCCAGGCCTCGGGCTTCACTGGGGCAGGAAGGAGCAGGGACAGTGTCAGATTATGACTCTCATCTAGAACAGAGGGACTCCGAAACCCACCGGTTTGGACAGCAACCCCTTCCACTCCTCAGGAAACCAAATAATTTACCGAGTAAGCCCCTCTCTTCTACCCCCTACTGACATGTAGAGTGGTGGTGGGACGTGCAACAGGGAACCTGGAGAGAGAGGACTAACCTTGCCTTTGCAGCTCCGCCTTCCCTGCTTCCAGGACGCTCCAGAGAAACCGGGGGCAGGTGTGATAGAGGAGATTCCCGATGATGTCAGAGATGCCTTGGTACTGCGTGTAAAGCGTGCAGAACCACTGGGCACGGCTGCCGGCCTCAGCCGCAGGCACACACGTCCCATTCTGGAGGCTCATGAAGTCCACTCCCCCTAGCCCTCCCCGCAGGAAGCTGACTGTGGTCTCCCCCGCAAGGAGCTCGCAGCCTGCTGTGCCCTGGATCTCAAAGGGATCTGGAGAGGAGAAAAACAGAGGAAAATCCATCTACAAGCCAACAAGAAGGAAAGGGATGGAGAAAGGGCCTAGAGTATTTCATATGGGTGGGAGAAAGGTCCGAGGTGTAAGATGATGAGCCAACAACCAATTCAGGACAGTCATATGCAGCATAACCACTTTCCAGCCAACAACGAACCACATGTATGAGGGTGGTCCCATCTATACTAATAAAAGGGTAATGTGCTAATTAGACCAAGAGACCTTCCGGACAAAGCCATGGTGGCGAGGCTGAGGCAGAGGTGGTTAGGGGCAATCAGGCCAGGAGGGGAGGGCAGTTGGGGGTGATCAGGTGGGGGGGGGCAGTTGGGAATGAGCAGGACATCAGGGGGGAGCAGTTGGGGGCAATCAGGCCAGCGGGGGGTGAAGGGCATTTGGGGGGCAGAGTGGTTAGGGGCAATCAGGCAGGCAGGGGAGCAGTTAGGAGTCAGTGGTCCCAGATTGTGAGAGGGTGCAGGCTAGGCTGAAGGACACCCACTCCCCGCCCCCCATGCACGAATTTCTTTGCACCAGGCCACTCGTAAGACTATAATGGAGCTGAAAATTTCCTATTGACTAGTGACATCAGAGATATCATACCATCCTAGCACAATGCATTACTCGTGTGTTTTACACAAACTGTGTTGCCATTTCTGTAAAAGTATAGCAACACAATATGTACAGTACATAATACTTGATAACAATAATAAATGTTACTGGTTCCTGTATTTATTATACTATTGATTGTTATTTTAGAGTGTGCTTTTTCTCTTTATAAGAAAGAGAAGTCTGCTATAACAGTGTGCCATGTTATACCAGCAACAGCCTCATACGTCTCAGGTTTACCGCATCTCTTGATTGCATCATTTTCTCTAGTGCTTGGTTTAATCTCATGTTTTCTGTACAGTAATGTGGTGTACAGAATTGTAGCCTAGAAACAACAGCATATCCCATATAGCCTAGTGTGTGGTGGGCTATCCCATCTAGGTTTGTGTGAATGCAGTCTATGATGTTTGCACAAGAATGAAATTGTCAGAACCTAGGCATTGTTAAGAACCTAACGCAGTGGTCGGCAAACCGCAGCTCGAGAGCCACATGCGGCTCTTTGGCCCCTTGAGTGTGGCTCTTCCACAAAATACCACGTGCAGGCGTGCACGTACAGTGCGCAGTTGACTTAAAAATTTAAGTAAAGTTTATTAAGTTAATTTTAGGGAACATTGTGGAGTGAAAGAAGATGTAGTGTCGAGGATTGAGAAAGGTATGTTGAGATGGTTTGGACATATAGAGAGGATGAACGAAAGGAGATAGACGAAACAAGTATACAAGAGGAGTGTGGATGGGAGAATTGGAAGGGGTCAACCTCAGCGAATGTACCTCAATCAGATTGAGGATGTTTTTAGCAAAGGCCAGCTTAGGAGTACCCTAATTTAGTTAATAACAATGTACCTACCTATATAGTTTAAGTTTAAAAAATTTGGCTCTCAAAAGAAATTTCAATCATTGTACTGCTGATATTTGGCTCTGTTGACTAATGAGTTTGCCAACCACTGACCTAACACATTTCTCAGACCCTATCCCCGTTGTTAAGTGGAGTCTGACTGAATTCATAGACTTTTCAGAAGGAAGAGCATAGGGGGAAATACACATGTCACAAACAGTGGAGAAGGGATGTTGTAATGACATACGGGAGGGAGGGGAGAGGAGAGGGGGGAACTGTGAGCAACAGGGTGATGAAGTCTGGGCACAACGTTCCAGAAGGAATGGGAGCATTACATTGAGAGGAGGGATCCGGTAGGAAGGAAATGCTTGAGGGGATGGATTGAAGAAAGAAGGAACTCACACGTTAGTGTTCTCAGGCACAGAGCAGACAAGATGAGGGCTTCTTGCGTGGGGTTCAAGAGAACAAAAGTTAAACATAAACAAACCAGATGATGGTCCCAAAGGGAGATCTTTATCAGACAAGGGTGCGGGAAACAGGAAGAAGCTGCAATAGTTTGTGGAGATATGGAGTCCAGTGGAAGACAAGTCTAGAGAAGTTGGATAAACTGGGGAGAAGGAGGAGAGAAAGACCCGGGGGTGTGGTCTTAAACAAGAGAAAGAGAGAAATCACTGATAATCTCTCCAAAGGACGGCACTCACATGTCAGCTGGAATTCACTGACGTGATCCTGTACGACCCGGAGGAATCCGATCAAATAGACTCGGAAGATCTCCACCAGCTCAGTCACCTCCTCGTCACTCAAGTTGCCCTTGGACCAAGGCTTCAGGAAAATGGCAGTGCCCGACTCACTGTCCCAGCCATGAATCTGCAAATCGCCCAGCCAGCCGGAGCCCTGGTTTTGTGCCCAGGTGCTGTTGGCAAAGGACGATATCTGGATGAGGTGGAAAGTGGTCGGCCCCTGGAAAGCTGTGGGTAGTAAAAGGATAAGAAAAGTGAGGAAAAAAAAGAGAGAGAGAGAGAAAAGCAGGAGGAAATGGCCAGGGAGGGGGGATGAAAACCAGAAAGTTCCAGAGAAAAAGAACCCAGAGTCTGAACAACAAAAGGCCTGAGACATTTGCCTGTGCCAGGGCCTCGGGCTCCATCCCCAACCCCAGAACGGAAGGAAAGGCTGGGGACAGATGGCCCAGACACGTACAATATGGGCATGGACAGCATGCTTTTACCCAGACCCCGACCCCCACGCCGGGAGAGGCCAGAGCTGCTCTTACCTGGCTCGTTGTCACCACCTGGGATGAGAACCACAAGCAACAGAAGTGGCAAAAGCAGCATTTCCCTGGGAGATAGAACTTCTGACTCTCAAAGCTGGCGTTTGATCTCTGAACCCAGCAAACCTTTTTCTCAGCCTCTATAGTGACTTCCTCTCTCTTCCAACTGCCAAACCTCCACCTCATCCACATCACGCACCAGAGAAAAGCTGTGCCTCCACCGCCTGGCCCTCCCACTCTGATCTCATTTCCACTCCGGCCCTGACTTCCAGGTTGTCTTCTTGTCTCCTTGGCTTCCAGCGGTTGTCTCTCACCCCTGCTTTCTCTTGCTATCTTGGGAAAGCCACCAGAGGCTTTTGAAAAGTTATTTATTTTTTTACCTCTTCAATCCTTTCTTGTAACATCGGTTAAATCAGAAGGTAATGTTAAACAACTGTCTGCTTTAACCTAGGAATATTCTTTTGATTTATCCACCCAACTCTGCCTTGCTCCTCAGGGCCCTCTCTTCGCTGGCGCTCTATCCCAGCATTCTCAATGGCTCCTTTTTTTTTTTTTTAATTTCATCCCCTTTTCTGATCTTCCTAAAGCCATAATCTTGTTTCTGTGTGTGTGTGTGTGTGTGTGTGTGTGTGTGTGTGTGTGTGTGTGTGTGTTGACAGTAATTTACAAAAGACAAAGCATTTAAAACAATTGCCCGGCCCTGGCCGGGTGGCTCAGTTGATTGGAGCATCTTCCCATACACCAAAAGGTTGCGGGTTTGATTCCTGGTCAGGGGGCATACCTAAGTAGCAGGTTTGATCCCCTGTCAGGGCACGTATGGGAGGCAACTGAGTGATGTTTCTCTCCCACATTAATGTTTGTCTTCTTCTCTCTCTAAAGTCAATAAGAAAACATATCCTCAGGTGAGAATTAAAAATAGTAATAATAAAAATAAAATAAAACATTTGTCCGGAATATAGTACTGCAGACCCAACTTCCAAAATCAAATAAGATAAATACTGTAGCTTATCATACAAGCAAAATTATCTTATACCATAGCGATTTTTGAAAAGAAAAATTACATTGGTGACTGGCATATGACCTTCTTTACAGTAACTTCTGACCTGTGAAAGTTTGAGTAACAAATTATTATGACACAAGCTGCAGCTTCAGTCTAAGTCAAAAACAACTGCTTTTTTGTCTGTTTGTTTTTCCGTAATCCCTTCACCTTTTTCACTCGGCCCTGCCAAACCTCCTCCCCTCTGACAGCTTTCCGTCTGTTCTTTTTACCTATGAGTTTGTTTCTAACTTTTGGTTGTGGGTCGTTAGATTCCACATGTAAGTGAAATCACATGTTACTTGTCTTTCTCTGACTGGCTCATTTCACTTAGCAGAATACTCTCCAGATCCATCCAGGCTGTTGCAAAAGGTAAGATTTCCTTCTTTTTTATGGCCGAGTAGTAATACATTGTGTAAATGTACTACAGCTTTTTTATCCACTCATCTACTGATGGGCACTTGTACTGCTTCCAAATCTAGGTTATTGTGAATAAAGCTGCAATGAACATAGAGGTGCATACATACTGTCAAATTAGTGTTTGGGATTTCTTTGGATATATTCCCAGGGTGCATGAAATGGGTCATCATGGTTGTTGGGCTATGGACCTCCGAAAAAATTGAATGGAGGGAGACATCAGATCTAAAGGGAGTAAGCACAGTGGGACAGTTGTGTCCCTCTGGGTTTTAATCCATAGAACGTAGAAATCTTGGGGAAAGATTTTTTTTAAAAGCACACACACACACACACACACACAGTCCAGAAGAAATCCTGAGGCATCAACATCTGGACTAGCCCCCAAGAAGTTGATGCATAAAGAACTTTATGGTGGGATAGGAATAATGCGAAAAGACCTAGGAAGAATGTGAGAATGGTTCCCAGGAATAGAACTTTTTGAACAATCCCTTAGCTGAGTATAATGAAGTTACATTCAAACAGCGATTGATTGTGATCGGCTAACTGCAGCTCGGGAGCCACATGCGGCTCTTTGGCCCCTTGAGTGTGGCTCTTCCTAAACCTTAGGAGTACCCTAATTAAGTTAATAACAATGTACCTACCTATATAGTTTAAGTTTAAAAAATTTGGCTCTCAAAAGAAATTTCAATCATAGTACTGTTGATATTTGGCTCTGTTGACTAATGAGTTTGCCGACCACTGGACTAGATATTTTGATTCGCCTGAGTTAATCCAAGGAAGTAGACATAAAGTAACAGCCCCCGGTCTATCAACTCCTTGTTGATGAAGTTATCTTTGGACCCTGGGTGCGGGAAATTACTGTGGCGTTTTTACTGTCCCAGCCATGAGTTTGTGACTCATCCAGCTAACGTGAACTGTGACGTTGTGCTTAGGATTGGCTGACAAATGATGAGGTCAGAATGAGATGGAACCAGATACATTACTGGACCACTGTGGGTGGTAAACGGTCAGATGCTTTCAGAAAAAAAAAAAGTAGGAAGGAGAGAAAGTGGAAAATAAACCAGTTCCCAGAGGGCGAGAAAAATATTATGACCAGTTTGAACGTGTATTTTCCTGAAACCCGGCCCCCATGCTCCCCCACCATTCTCCAGAAGAGTAAACTGCCTGCAGACAGGAATGCTCAGGCGGGAAGCACTGGTATCCTTAGAGTCCAGGTCCATCTTTGAGAATGTCACCACCTGGGCCCCTGACAGATGTCTCCCCATCGGGACTGTCACTGCAGGAGAAAATGGCTAACGTTGCAAGGTGTAAAAGCAGCCTGTCATTTGCAGATGTTTCTTCTTTTACTTTGTTCCAGCAAACCTATCCTTCAGTATCTCTAGTCTGACTTCCTTCTTTCACCAACAGACAACCTCCTACTAATGGCTGACTGGAACCAAGAAAATCTGCTACTTGCCTCAACCTTGGGCCTCCTACTCGATTTTTCATTTCCTCTCCAGCTCTGGCATAAGGATATTTTCTCCGGTCCGGGTTTTTGCTGTTGTTGTTGTTGTTGTTGTTGTTGTTGTTGTTGTTCTTCTTCTTCTTCTTCTTCTTCTTCTTCTTCTTCTCCTCCTCCTCCTCCTCCTCCTCCTCCTCCTCCTTCTTCTTTTTTAATTGATATCAGAGAGAGGAAAGGAGAAGGGGAGAGAGATAGAAATATCAATGATGAGAGAGAATCATTGATTGGCTGCCTCCTGCACACCCGCTACTGGGGATCAAGCCTGCAACCCGGGCATGTGCCCTGACATGGGATGTCAGTAAGAATTGTAATGCAATTTTTGAGGAGACCATTAGATATGCAGGTTTGGAACTAAGAAAAGAGGTCTGGACTGGAGATAAAGATTTATGAGTCATTGGATTAAACATAGAAATGAAAATCTGTCTGCAGATGACCGCCCACTAGAACATATCCTCAAATAAAATGCAAAAATTTCATGAAAATATAGAAAGGTCACTTTACCTCCTTGGGACTTGCATCTCAACTCTAAAATTTTAAAAATGATAATAATAATAAAACATAAACTACTTGGCTTTTCTGGGCCCTGCAGATCACAATTCTTTGTTTCCTCAACTCAATTCTGGCTGCAGGCTCCATGATGCCCCCTCTTCTTAGTCAGAAAATGCAGCTTTTCAAGAGGATACATGGGGAGACACTAAAAATTCATGTTGAAGTTAAATTTTGTTATCTAATAAAATTATGTTGACAAAAACAGAGTAACATTTGTTAATATTTCCATGTATTTAAGTAGTCTATTTAAGAAATAGTTGGTGATTTGTCAATGGTTCTCACTGGCTAATGTAAGAACCATTGAACACATGATCTTTTTAATATACAGGCCATGTGTTCATTATTATAGTTTCTATTTAAAAAAACTTTAAGCAATTATTGAATGCAGGAAGCAGTAACTTAAAACTGCATTGGTAGCATTATTTACCTTTTATATTTGTCATCATTAATACTGAGGCTGGAGGTTACACAGATATTTGGACACAGATATTAGGCAACTTCTATGACCTACAAACTCTTCTAAGAACTGTATACAGGTTAAGCCCCACCCAAATCACTCATAAGCACCAGATCTCATCTTTGCCTGAATCTCCTGGTGAATGGTTTAGGAAGCTATAGCTAATACAATTTTATATGTTTACCACATTTTTTTCTATCCACCTATGCGAAATGACAGCCCTCTTGCTCCCTTATAATTGGGCTATGGCCATGTGACTAAGTTCTGGGCAATGGAATGTCATGTGCTGAAGATGTAAGCCACCTCCAGGCCTAACCTTGTAAAATACTGATAAACTTGCCCTACAGTGCCAGCTTGGAAGTCACCTGTGCCAGGTGGCAGAGCTACAAGACGGAGAAGGGCTGCCTGATTTACATGGAGTTTGCCTACATGAGGAATAAACTTGTTTGTGTTTAAACCTCTAAGATGCTCAAGTTTATTTATAATTGCAATTCAACCTACTTATACTGGTAATATTATAAAAGCCTGAGACTAGTGTTCTTCTCCTAAACTCATAATTAAATAAGAATATAAACATAAAATATATAGATTAAATTGTTAACTTTGTATAAAGCTTCTAGATAAATCTTCCAGAGAATTTCCATTCAGTGTGTAATGCAAGAATCTTGCTGGTATTGAGCTCCAAATGAAGTGGCCTATTCATTCTCAAAAAATGATTGTGTTTTCCCAAAATTAATATGTTGATCACCTAACTTCCAGTGTTGTTGGAGATGGGCCTCTGAGTAGTTAAAGTTAAATGAGGTACTAACAGTGGAGTCTTATAAGAAGAGTCATCAGAGATTGAGCTTTCTTTCTCCTTCTCTCTCCTTTTCTCTCTTTCTCTCTCTCCTTTTCTTTGTCTCTCCTCTCTCTCTCTCTTTCTCTCCATATAGATCTGTGCAAGAGTGGGCCTTCCTTCTCCTGGCTGCCGGCACCACCTTCTCTCCGGCCCAGAGCCGCCTTTCTGCCTTCCTATGCTGCCCAGAGGCCCAGAGCAGCTGGGGCAGTGCAGAATGCCTGCATCATTGCCATGGCGACGATGCAAGCGTCCTGCCCCTCCCCACGCCACTCGGCACCTGCATATGCAAAATAACCCGCCATATTTGTTGGGTTAATTTGCATACTCACTCCTGATGGGCTGGTGGGCATCACATAGGTATGGTCAATTTGCATCTTTCTCTTTTATTAGTGTAGATAATCTTCATGCACTGAGGAAAGGTCATGTGAGCACATATCAAGAAAGCGGCTGTCTGCAAACCAGGAAAAGAGCCTTCACCAAGAACCAAAGTGTCTTGGACTTCTGGTCTCAACAACTGAGAAAATGGATGTCTGCCTTAAACCACCCAGTCTATGTGGTATTTTGTTCGGGCAGCCTGAGCAGACTGATACACTCACTTAGTTCAGGAAATTCTGGAAAACTCCAAATACTCCTGAACTGAAGGCCTGTTCTTGTGAGAAGCAGGGCATGGAGGAGGAGACCAGGACTGACACTTCAGAGAACAACTTGGCTCAAGAGAGAAAGAGGGGAAAGAAGATGTGCAGACCAAATATGTACCCATGTTCTCTCCTGTATCCACCAATGAGATACTTTACTCTATTTTCATGGGCGGGGAGGGGGATGAGTGAGTATTTCTTTAAGTATTTAGGGGAAATTCTCCACCAGGAGAACTAGAAGAATAGGTAATAGTTCTATCCCATGATATGGCAATGCCCACCCAATTACCTAAAAAGAAATCTAGAAACCTGTATTCTTTGGAAACTTACTTCTCCTTTACTCCCCATAGTCATCATGTCACCATATCACTTATCTCCATAATTTGTAAAATTCATTC